CGTGCTTTTGGAACGCCCACCGAAGCACATAGACAGCTTGGCGCAAACTAACACGTGGTCGGATTCGATAGGAGTGCTCCAGCACGCTCGGCAGTCTCGTATACAACCCCGCCATTTGTGGCTTATAGCGATGTGATCGATTTGTGTCCGTCTCTGACTCGAGGAGGACGGACGCCAGGTGGCGTACCGGCATTTGGAGCGCCTGAAGTTCGTACTAGCGAAGAACAGGCGGTGGTCGGAACAGAGAGCCAACAGCCGTTCAGTAGGCGTTTTGCATATCAAAAGTGTAAAATATTCACATAGGACTGGGTTGGTCCAGCACCCAGCCTCACTCTAACTGGGGAAGGAGCGGAAGAAGCAGACAAATTTTGCCATTTGGGCAGCTATATCTCACCCGGTGGACACATCACAGATGAACTGTCGGCACGCATACAGAAAGCTCGATTGGCATTTTCCAACTTGAGACATCTGTGGCGCCGTCGCGACATCCGGTTGTCTGTGAAGGGTCGAGTGTTATGCCGCGACAGTTCGACCAGTTCTGCTCTACGGTGCAGAGAGGTGGTCATCATGGGAACAGAATAAAAATAGATTGTCAGTGTACAAACACCGCTGTCTATGCAGCATTGGATGAGTCTGGTGGAGAAACCGGATAAGCAATGCGGAGATTGGGCGCAGAGTTTTAGTTAATCGCAGTCGTCCACTACTGCAAGTGGTCGACCTCCATAGCTTACGTTGGTTGGGACGTGTTACGCATGTCACCAAATAGGTTGTTATGGTGCGATATATTGGCAGGGAACGGATCAAAAAAGGCCAAGGGCGCTCAAACTAAGACCTACTATGAGCGTATGAAAGTCCTAGCCAGGACAGTGGTTCACATAGTTGTCGTTAGGCTCCCTGGATGGGTTCCCCGAGATCATGGTAACCGGTGGTTAGAGGCGCGGAGTGATATGGCTCAGTGTCGCAAACAATGGTGTCCGTGCATATACTGATTCTCTTGCAGCCTTAGTCCACTGCAATTCCCCATTTTCTGTGCGACTCTATTTCCAACTTTTCTTTTTTTCTCCTACAGCTTTGTCCAAACGGGCAGTGAAGTAATAGCAGCCAAAGCTGGCGCACCAAAGTGCATGGCAATGGTTTTACCAACAGTGTGTGTGTGTGTGAGAGAGAGAGAGAGAAAGAGAGATAATGTGCTGGACCACACGCACATGTGTGGTTCTTTATTCTGGTTGCGTTATCCTGTCATCTGGTTTAGTCTGATAAATCGAGGTCACTTGTCGCCCTGTTCGAGCTTGAAAACCCTGCAGAAGCCCAACCAAACAGTCAAGACCCCACCCCTGTTCGTTGTTTTATCCAAGTGCCTGAAGCAATTTATTGAAGATTTATTTAGTTTAAATGTACAACCGTTAAGAACGGATCTGCTATGAAGGTTGGAGTTTGTTGTTCATAGCGCCAACTGCATGCTATGCATTCACCACAAAATGTGCTTTGGATTTACCCAAATTTGCAACTTATTCACTTGAATTTGAATTGGTTTATGGTGAAAATGCGAAGAACTGTTAAACACTGTTCATTTGCCTCATCTATCTCTGCTCTCATCTAACCGTTCGCCGTTGTTAGATTTCACCAAAAAGGTGAATTATTTAACGTTGAGTATAACAGGTAAATCAAATGTACCTTTCCAATCTAGGCAACACCGTTTCCTGTTTGTTTTACGATAGCCTGTTTGGGTTCAAAGTTTCTTTTTTTTAAAAAAAATAAACAGGAACGAGCAGCTCTGTATCAAAATCGTGCAGCTGCCAAGGAAAACCTACGACAGTATGAATCCGCCATTGTGGATTGCACATCTGCTCTGGAATTGTCACCGAAATACTTGAAAGCTCTTAATCGTCGCGCACACATTTATGAGAAGCTGGAGATGTGGGAGGATTGTCTTCCGGATGTCGTAGCGTGTTGTATCTTCGAGGAGTTCAAAAACGCTGTAAGTATTTCTATTTTATCTGAATTAAAGTTTTCTGAGTTAGTATACGATCCTCTGCACTCACTGGAATTGTGTCTCGTCAAAGTTGATGCGAAAATAATACGCTTGTGATATTCAATTGCAATATGAACATGAATCACAGGAAAAGGCTTGTTTGAAAATCTAAAGATGTACCGTAAAAGAATCCAGGGTACTCAGGAATCAGTTTGTTGACTGTTATTTAGGATAAACTAAAAATTAACATGTACATAGATTGCAACTTTAGGTAAGCGACTTTAGAAGCTGAGGTGAAGTTCGAAAGTAACTCGTCAGACACAACGAGAGTTGGACATCACAAAGTGTCATGTAGCACTCCAGTCAGCCAAAGCTTATTGCCAGAAAATTTCTAAGGAGAAAAAAAACGCCGGAGGGAGAGAATAGAGAAAATTGTAATTAGTGTAAAACGGTCTGAGCAAAAGTGAAGTTCATTATTGTGAGGAAACCTAATGGGGAAGTTGATAAACTGAAACAAATTGTCTGTAATCATCAACTCACCGCTTTCGCAGTCCAGAAGGATTTCATCGGATAACTCGGGGCCTTATGTGGTTGGCAACTGCAAGTCCCAAGGTTTGGGTGACCGATATAACCATTGAATGTGCACTTTCGTGAGCCTGTTTTGCTCACTGCCTTATGGATCCCGTTTGGATAACAGAGCAAGATGAAGATCTGAATGTTGAGAGCCAATTCAAGTTGTAGATAGAGAATCGATATAAACTGATGTTCCAGGGAAAATGAGTAAATGCACGGACACCACTGTTTGCGACTGGGTTTCACTCCGGTCGTGGATGCTTTGGTCAAATCTTCATCCTCTGACAGCTACTAGGGCACCGTCGTGCTTATCAAAGACCAACGGCCATTTTATTCTTAGACATCTGCACGGCCTTGGACTCCATCGATAGGACCGCATTGTGAAACTGTTTGTTGAGGAAAGCAGTACCTGAGAAGTATGTGTCGATCCTCAAAGAGTTGTATCGTCATACCCCAGGTCAGGTTAGGGCTTATGACCAGCTTTCGCCATCCTTCGCCGTCTCCAGTGGAGTTCGACAATGTTGCCCTATATCCCCATTCCTTTTCAACTTTGCCATAGAGGATGTTCTACAGGACGCTTTGTCCGGTCCAGCAAACGGTGGAGTCGAACTCCTCCCAGGGAACAGAGTTCTTGACTTAGAATATGCCGATGACATCGTCTTGTTGGGTGACAATGCACAGGCAGTCCAACGGGCTTCATACCACTTGGCGATAGAGGTATTCAGGTATGGTATGTGCTTTGCACCTTTCAGGTGCAAAGTGCTTGTTCAAGACTGGCAGGTGCCTGTGCCTGCATTCACCCTCTGTGGTGATGAGTTAGGAGTTGAGAGCTTTAAGTACCTCGGGAGCTTGATTGCAGCTGGTTTTGGTGTTGGAGAGGAGATCACATCACGAATAACGAAAGCTAAAGCAGCTTTTGCAGACCTGCGACGTCTGTGGCGCCGCCATGACATCCGACTGTTTTCTAAGGGAAGGGTGTACATCGCCGCAGTTCGTAACGTTTTGCTTTACGCTTGCGAGACCTGGCCTCTCCGTGTTGAGGATGATAATTGACTTTCCGTATTCGATCACCAATGCCTTCGAAGCATTGCTCGAGTCTGGTGGGAACATCGGGTAGGCAATGACGAAATTCGTCGTCGTGTGCTGGATACTGATAGTCGTTCTCTAACGGAAGAAATCGTTCTACACCGCCTCCGATGGCTCGGTCATGTTTTGCGTATGCCTGCCCATCGACTACCTCGCCGTGCTCTCTTTGCACGTACCGGGAAAGGCTGGAAGAATCGCCGCGGCGGTCAGACCATCACATGGCGTAGAGGTTTGAAGAAGCTAGCTTCAGCTTTGGCTTCGGTTGGTCCATCTTCCAAATTGGGGCCCAAAGGATGGGGATTGTCGTTGGTTAGAAACGCTGAGAGATATAGCCCAGAATAGAAGTCAGAGGTGCAAATGCTATACGGTTTGCCTGTCGAATTCCCATACCCCAGAAAAAAACGATAAACTAACACACGAAAATTTTAAATTGTGTACAGTGTAACACAAAAATGTTATCCCATTTATTCGTAATTTTCCATTTTAACAGTTCCGTATTTTTATTGTATTCTGTATCCCAACGACCCTCGTTATTGGCATTGTTAATATTGTTGTGGCGTTGGTACCATGCTTGTCCGCAAGTCGGTGTTTACATGTATATATATATATATATATATATATATATATGTTTTAAAAGAACTAATTCTCCTTTTGCTCGTTGTAGGATAATATCATACGTATGGACCAGGCGCTGAAAAAGGTCGGACAGAAAAAAGCTCACGAAGAATGGGACAAACTTCCTCACTCCCTACCTTCCAATGCCTTTATTCGAAATTATATGAGGTATGTTCAGGTAATTCTCCCATGTCTACGCACTCCCTTGCGCATCGGTTTTTTTTTACTTTCACACACATCTAGATCCAGACTGTGTTAAATAAATCATGATGAAATAATCTTATGAAAAAGAAACACGTTCCATGAATTGTATGTGGGTGGAATACTGCCAGTTTGCCCAGGCCAAGGTAGGTAAATCTTCTTGAGGAATCCACAGTCGCAGCCTTCGGTTGACCCCGAAGGCGGTGTGTGGAAACCGCAATCCATTGGGAGCCGGTGTCCAGTTAATCGGATCATACGCCCCTTAAACGGGGTCAAATGTCCAAGGTGCCCAATACACATCGATGCCTAATCGAGCCGGTGACCATCTTCATAACCAGGAAGGTGTCTGGTTGGTAGGTCTCTTCTGGGTTGGTTTGAAATCAGGGTTTTTATCCATCTCCCCTAGGTGAACTGCCAGTGGTCCACCGACCCGGTTATAGTCCCAGATGTCGGCTTTTCGTCCTCTCACTTTGGTGGGAAAATACCTCCGCCACTAAGGGGCAGTGAGTAGGGCTTCCTCAGCAGAGGCTATTTGAGACGCTTGGTCGTGTAGGAGCATTTCGCGAGGTGCCAGGGAAGGATGATTAGTCCCAACCCAGAACACCAATCCCCGACCATACTGAGGCTTTCGGAGGCCTTCGATCTTTCAGGTACGACGAGATTTCCAGTTTGGTCAAAGCGATCACATATAACACATTTGGTAGCAGAAGTGCATGAGCGATCACATCACGTCAATGAGCTCTTTGATTCTCATAGGAACCCACGAACCACCAGTGATGATTATGATAATGATGATAACGAACAAGATGGAGACAGTTGCAAAGTGTTTCGTAGCTTTTTAATTCAGGTTTTCTATGGTTTATATGTCACCAATACTAATGAACGATCGCATTGAATCACTGTTTATTTTTATATTACTGGTCTTATTTCCTATTGTAAATCCCGTCAGCTATGCAGAAAAACAGCAATAAAATCATCCGTATACGCAACTCACCAGCGGCATCGCAAATGTTTAACTGCCTAGGCCAAACAAGCTGAATATATGAACAAGATTCAGACGAATTAGTGCAATACCCCAAAGTATACTCTCATCCACAGATAGAACACATTTTGAGATTCTCTCCCCACATTCCCGAATAAACTGCACAATGAAATAGACGAAATTCAAGCCTATATTCCAACTGGCAAATCAAAAAGGGTTTTATTTAGACTTACGTTGCAACAGAGTATAGTAGTACACCGATGGGCGATGACACGACTGTCAGTCAAATTGGTTAGCATGAAGTGAAGGGCTGCAAACATGTTAACGGTCTGCTACTAAGCAAACAGGAATCATACAGACAATAAGTTTGCAGGAAACAACGGACGAAATTATCAGCATCTAAGGGATATTTATAACGACAACTGATTAAATACAAAAATATTGCTTTCAGATCAGCCCATTGTACCTCGTATTAAACTCGGTAAAGTTTAGCCACCACAGATGACGGATAGTGTTTACTCACTAGGGAAAGACTGAAAATACTAAGAATTATCTCACTTTAGCTCTTTTTCTAGACACCTGGCGAGATGGACAACATTGGATGCGGACGAGAAGTCGGCCACCGTATCCGAGATATTTGCCGCCTCTGAGCTATGCGAAATGGCAGATGAATGAGCCGCTTCGCGTTTGGGACGTTTGGCAGCTGTGTGGAACAAAAATGAGAAAGCTTATCTTTAGCTCATTCTAACGAAGGCTAAAGGGATCTATATACGAGTGCCTCAAATAAGATAACTTATATGGAGTAAATTGCTTATAACATTGTTAATCTGACGATTCTGGTTCAAGACGCATGAAATAAAATACCACTTCATATAAACATATTTATCTCCTCTAGTTTTTACGTGTATTTCCGCTAGTGGACAGAATGCACTTTATCATTGAGAAGGGGACTGTGTGCCAATGTTAATTAGAGTGGAAAATGCGAAGAAGAGGGAGACTTTATTTCGATGAACTTTCGCGTTAAAGATTTGGCAAAACAGGCAAAACATTACGTCTGACAGTGAGTTGATTAGATTGGCCTGTGGATTTGAATTGGACCAAATTCATGCGAATCATAATTACGAGGATCATGAGCACTGAAGCATTCTAGATGTCAAGTTTCTTAGTGACCATCTGCGTTAGTTGCCCTTGCAAACCTTGCAGGGATCACACGTAATTTGATTCACGAAATATGATACGTAATGTTTTTTTATTTCCTTTTTATTTTTTTAGTATGCAACTGCATAATCAACTTTTGAGAAGAGGATGACGGACTAACAAGGGCTGCATGAGGAGATACATAAATGGGGCAGACGGTGGCAGGATTCAAATTCAGGACTTTCAGGTAACTGTTTTGATAATCCTACTCACTTCGTCATCGAAGAGCTAAGGAGATATTCCATAATTTTTCTGATCCGTTTCCGCCTTGTCAACTCGGATTAGCACAATATTTTGTTTGGTTCTGGCACACCGAACCATAACTTTCAATTCGCCATTCTGACCAGATAAGGTTTCATTATAGAATCCATGAGCCGAAATATGCGGAGACATGCAACTTTGGGGCTTCTGTCAGGCACTGCATGTATGTCAGTATTTCATACACCACTCATCCGGGACAGACTCTTGTAAACTGGAGAATAGCGACTAGTTCACAAAGTACGTATAAAAATTCGAGTTTTCTGTGCGCCATGCCCAGTTAACTCTTACCCCCCCCCCCTTCTAAATATGCATCATACCTTCGGCCAGTCACCTATACGGATTGAATTGCGAATCCTCAAGGTGAAATAAACAGTAAGAAAAAGGCAACTGAAGCCTTCCACCGAAGGTGAAAATTTAGCCAACATTACGCAATATAGAAAATAATTTTGTTTCAACTTACCGATGGACTCCGTGAGCTCCGGTTTGACAACTTCACTAGAATCGAACGGTGGTAGTTGAAAGTAGGAAGCTTCCATATCCTGATAGGATCGAATAACACTTTCTAAGTAGGCTATGTTTGCTTCCGTGATGTCCGCACAGTAAGGTTCCATCAGTTCCCAAAATTTGTTCGGAATAGCATAGCTTAAGGATAACGATAGAATGCACAAGGAATTGCACGTTAGTAGATAATACAAAATGAACAGATCCGACTTCGTCGCAGAATAGAATCACCAATACTGGTGATTTTCTAGTTTAAGAGATATTGATTGATCTAGGCATTTAGTAACTACACCGCCACAAGCGTTACAGAAAACTAAACGGTGATGCAGGACTCTAACTTTGTCAAAGAAACTACGCTAATCCGTATCCCCAATCCCCACTCCCCCCCCAAAAAAGTCAATTCATTGCCCGAAATCTCGGGAAAATCCGGTTGGTTTTCTTCACATACACGATGATATGCAACAAACATACTTAAAATACAAGTATTTGTCAACTCTCGGGAGCCAAATCGTTAAATACAATACATTAAATACATTAGTTTGTACCATCCACTTCACACATCGAGTTTTACCGGGATATCTAATAGTTTCGTAGGTTATTTGCAGTAAGCTTTCAAGGCATGAATATGCAACCCACTCTCTCATCTGCCTAATCCTTCCACTCGCCCTCAAATCATACGACATGCTGTACGCTTCGGCTACTAAGGGGATGGGATATGACTCGGCGTTCAACTAATAAGGTAGATCAATAAAAATCTATTCGATTAATGAAACCCAAATCTCTTTTTCACGTAACCGCGTTCACTGTCTGTACACTTCGTCAGATTGGCCGACTATCTGCCTTAGCTAGGAAACATGGAACTGTCAATTTAGACCTAAATTGCCTCCGTTACACGCATATAATACCGTATTTCAATCATCCTACTGCATTCTTCAGATCCAACCTCATCCGCACGCTTCACTTTCTGTGTCAGGTAATGCGGTCTATAATCATTGATTGCAATGATTCCGAGGTCCCCATAAAGGGAACCTAAGGCGATCTACATGAACGTGTATCCCAGTTAAGGCTTTTATATCCTCAAGCAAGGTCTTATTTTCACCGCCCTTGGGTATTTTCCACCCAACATCCACCTCAGCAAACATCGTGCGCCGTGGTAACCCATTTGGTGGCACGCGCAGCATATGCCCAACCAACGTAGCCTATGGGGATCGAGCACTAGCTCCAGTTTCAGTTTCACTTTGTGCAACCACTAACCATGCACTTTCGTGCGCCGGTTTTGGTTGCCGTCTTTTGTTTCTTGTGAGAGAAGTCGGTGCTTGACAGAAACAGTCCGAGATCAGCGCAAATTTGGAGTAGGCGTTCTCCGTCGTCAGTTCGGCTAGGTGGGATTGCATGTGAACCACCAAGTAGCCTTTCTGATTCGTCCAGGGATTCCACTTGAGCGTTGAAGTCTCCAGCGCCGGCCACGATGTCCGTTAACCGAGGATATTGGATCAGTTGAGAGAGGTTCTTGTAGAACGCATACTTGCTTTCAGGTGTACTGCAATCAGTCGGTGCATATACGGATACAACGAACAAGCATCGACGATTCGTTCTGTAGCTGTTGACTCGTACTGAACCATCCAGAAGTATAGCGCACAGTCGGCTACTGACTGGAAGCCAGTCACGAAGCGAGCAACCAAAACCGCCACACAAAGGTGCATGATTAACAAATGTAAAACCCGAAATTGAAACAACTTCGTTAACAGAATCAGTAAATACATACGGGGTCATTATGAATCTCTTCAATTAGAACAATATCAACCGCACAGTTTAGTTTATTGCCCCAAAATAGGTACTTCTGTGACGAAGATACAACAGCAAATCCATTACAACAAACAATACTCTTAACCGACCCATAAGAACAGAATGCGAAGTTCAAATGATTGAAAATCATAGAAACAAAAACAAAGAGAATGGACTAACCTGGATGATTGGTTTTTATCAGGTGATGATGCGGGACTATGGTCAGCGTGATCATCGACAGAAGACTGGGAGAAGGAGAATTAATAAACGTAAACGGGTTAAAAGGGATTTTGCTACTTCCCTAATGTTATTCAAATGGCGAACAAGTGAATGGTATATATATATATATATATATATATATATATATATATATATATATATATATATA